TTTATATGTTACCAGTAATTCTTATGGTTAATCTTTTTTTTTACTCCTTCCCTTTTAGTTGTTTTATTCTTGTGGCTCAGTTGAAGTATACGTTGAGTTGTGTTCATTTCCATAAGTTCCGAAGTGCAGAGTGCATCTACTTTATTTTACAAAATTTACACACATTTAAGTCAAGTAAAATTATATATCGGTATACATGTGTTTTGTAGCCTAGGGGTAAAGCATACACTGTGGGACTGTGAATCAGAGGAAAATTTAAATCAATAATTGACGAAAATTAAATTCCCGTGTTATTCATGTAATGGAGAATATTGTAAAATGTTGTAGTTTCCTTGTTTTTGGATAAATTTTGATCAAACTTGGCAAATTTATTGATGTTATACTAAACGATTAATATTTTACCAAAACACACTTTTATTAGTTTCTTTGTAGCAGCAAACCTAGGAATGTGTTAAACCTAATGTTATTTAAATTTAATTATTGAAAATCAATGAAATTTGCTTATTCGGCAGGTTTGCTATGGCGGGAGTATTTTTAAGATACAGGGTGACAATTAAGTATGGAACCTCTATTTAAATTTTTGACCACAATAAAAAAAATCCAAAACTCACACGTGGTTACTGGTTACTGGTCTGGTTACTGGTGATAATAACGTACACATCTGCCTAACTACCGACCGGATAACCTTTGGGGGACGGTCCACAAGGAGTCAGACAAAAGTCTTAAAATGCAGCATAGGTCGAAGTTGTGTAGGTCCCTTAGTTGCCATTAGCTGAATGGGATATTAATGAACAGTTGTGTCTAAGGAATCGGTCGGCCTTAGTCACTAACAAGACTACAAGATCGCGCCACTCATCATACACTCATCTCCATTCATACTTGGCTTAAAATATCTACTTTGTATGGTCGCCATTTCATCGAAAAGTATAAAGTTGAGTATTAAAGGTATCAAATTAAAGGTCTCCGTTAGTAGAATACAATGCAACAACCCCAAACTCAAACGGACAATGAGCTGTTAGAATATTCCTTTAATTAATTTGTATCCAAACTCAATGGTATCTTGGGTTCACAATAATGGAATTCCTATTTGCAGTACCTATTCAAAGTCTGCTTTTAAATGGAAAGTCTACTTGCAGTATCCCAGTATCTAAACTCAATGGTAGGGCTTTATTTGTGTTCACATAAATGGATTTTGGAGTATGTTTAAAGTCAATGGTGCATAAGCCTAATTCTGGCGACCCTAATTATTGGTTATTCATTTTGTGGTAAATTATGCTCAATGATATTAATCCGATTGTTCACCAACATATGTTGCGACTCTTGTTTACCTTTTTATTATTATTCCGCAAATAATGTCATGGCGAGTAATTAACCCATAACTTATATATGGGCAATTAGGCTCATGTTAAATTTATAAAAGTCTAAATTAACGTAGGGAAAAAGCCCTGTTGTTCGATTTGTACCATTTCAGATTTATGACTGTGACTACGACTGTGCTTAATTTCGTGCATCGCTTCAGCAGTTCAGGAGAAGTATTTGTAAAACAAAAGCAGGAGTGTAGAGTATCATAGGTAGTATAAGAGAAGAGGTGGTGTCTGTGTCTGTCTATCAGTTTGTACTTGATAAACTCATAAACTACTGAACTACTATAACTAACTAGTACTAACTACTATAATCAATGGTTAATTTGGGTAAAACATATCTATTTTCCTTTACTTCGATATAAACTCATTAATCTGTTGTTTCACGACATTATCCTGTAGTAAGATTATTTACCTAATCCGCCATATTAAACTTCCCTATCCCAAGCGTGATGTATACCACTTCTTCACTTCACGAGTGATGTAAAGTTGAAAAAAAAACTCACTCGGTGAGGTAATGAGACCCATTTAAATAACATTGAGTGCTTAACTTAAAAAAATATACCTCTATGGAGCCAACGACGTTCAACGTTAGAAATCAGCTGTGTGCTGTTTATTTTATTGCTGTTTTGAAGAATTTTCCTAACCTCTAGCTTTTGTTTGTAAACGAACGTTACTGTTAGAAGATGAGTGAAATGGATAATGAAAAATATTGTTCGTAACCTCCTGTATATTGCCGGATCAGGTAAGGTAAAATCTTGTACGTTACACGTTACGCAAGAGCGTGATGTTTACATCACTTAGGTAAATTTAAAAACCTGCGTGATGTAAAAACGCTCTTACTACACTTGTAAGGTAGGCTAAATAACTACTCTCTGGACACGTATATAGCGTTGTTGATGCTTAGGTCAAGACAAACACATTCCACCTAGGAACATGCCTAAGTAGTAGGTGTAGGGTAGGTAGTAGGTTAGGGTCTGTGGTGCCTAGTTTTCCGTCTGTCTGTATTTATGTGTAAAAAAAATAATAACTCCTAGATGGTTTGAGATACAGCGTTGAGATTTCGCAAAAGTGTTTATCTTATTAATACCGTAATTTAGTTTAAAATTATACTAAAATATCATTAACTGTTTCAAAATGGCGGCCATCTAAAATATTTTATGACAAATTTCACGAAACCCGTTAACTTCAAAATAATTGCAAGAAACAAAATAGTAATAAAAAAAGTAATAGTAAATTTTATGTTGTTTTCAATATAGCTTTATAGTCCTGGTGGTCTCGAGAGCGACGATGGACTCATTGCAGTGAGGTGTTTGCCCCGGTATAAGAGAATTCTCCGGAGGAAGCAATAACAAAAATATGAAAAAGACAGATTTTTGCTTGAAAATTAGATCCAGTGAGATACGATTGAGAGTATAACACAATTACTGTTACCAGGTAAATTATAATCAATTATGTCAAGGATATTTTAAGTTTTAACTTTTTGTTTCAGCCCATAACAGGATATTATTTGTGTTTTATACACTATTTTAGTAGTGTATTTAAAATAGTGCTATTAAAATTGTGTTTTTTGCCTCTAAGGACATCAAAATGAAAAGTATGCCTATCGGTCCCGGGTCTAGGTCTTGGGCCACATATGAGCTACCTATAGGGACTTTCGCTAAAACACCTGCATTACCCTCCCTGCAGCAGTAAATGTAGGTACTCATTAAACCTAAATGTTATTAAATAGATTTAAGTGAAAATCAAATCAGAAAATAGAAATTCAGTTAGTCTGCAGGTTTGCCGTGGGCTTTTGCGGGTGATCACATAAGTTTACACTGCCGTACCTTTGTTATGTTTTTTTTCTCTCTCAAGTAGTTTATTCTTGTTACCTATCTATCACCTGTTGAAGGTTTTTTTCTTCTTCTCTTGTTAATTTTACATTTTTTATTGCTTATGTTCCCGAGGTTTGCTCAATTTTTCTAATTTTTATTTCATCTCTGTTTTGCTCGAATATGCTACCTTAGAATTACTTTTGCTATTGCTTGCTTGCTAATGTATTGATTGTATAGTGTATTGTTTGTAAAATGGTGTTTGCCGTTGAGAATAAATAAATAAATAAATGTATAGTTTTAGCGAATTTCCCATATAGGGAATAAGCTAGTACCGCAGGTTTCATGGTAAGACCTAGACCCGGGACCGATTTACTTTTTCGTTTTGAGGTCCCCAGAGGCCAAAAACACCATCCGTTCAAATTCATATATATATATTTATATATGTGCCCGTTAGCGCGATAACTCGAGCAAAATTGATCCGATTTTTAAGAAATTTGGTACAAACGTGTAAACCTACATTTATTCGAACGAGTTCGCGAACCAGCATAATCGGACCATGGGATCAGGGGTTTAAGGCATGTTTAAGGGGGGTTTTATGGGGTAAAAATGGGTTTTTCTCATTTTTGACCCTAAAAACTTTAAATTTCTAAATTTCTCTCCAGACCATTTTGAAGAGCTTAAAAAACAAATAATTTAGTATATTGAAGTTTTTTTGAATGTTCATCGACTATGGAGAAAATTAAAAAAATTGTAAATTTAAAATTACCATGTTATTCTTATGGAGAATAAATAAACTGTTCTACTTTGCTTGTTTATGGATATATTTTAATCAAATTTGGCTTATTTCATACTAAGCTATCAATATTTCAATTGAAAAAAACACACCTCAACATCTTCCCCGTAGCAGCAAACCTAACTACTCACTAAAATTAATGTTATTTAAATAGGAAATAAATCTGAAAAATTATAGGGAATATTTTAGTAGAAATCAAGCCGGGTAAATGGAAATTCGCTTAGTATGCAGGTTTATTGCGACGGGGGTATTTATTGTTTGATCAAAACATCATAATACCAAACTTATGTTAAAATTTATAATGTAACTAACAATGTAAATTTGAAATTTAATATTTAAAAACAACGTAAATTAATAAATAATCATAACAAAATTAATAAATCAAATTATGCTAAATGAATATTTAAAGAAACTCTTATACATAGGTGTAATCCGGGTTCTAAAAACTCGTCCTTAACGCTTCTTTAGAGCAAAGCAAAAATACATCCTGAGGTATGCCCAAACTTTATTACTTCCTCCATAAAATAGGACAAATATTGGAGATAAGACGTCTAAAAGTATTTTACTATGTTATCGATTGAAGGGCGTTCCTAAACCAAGGAGGGGCATTTGACCCACATCGTAATGTTGTGACGGCGGGTTGTTGTTTGTAAGTGTGACGTCACGTCGTAACCGTCACTATAGCAACCTCATGACGTCACAAACTGCGGCGCAGCTGCGCGAAGGAGTGCGCAGTGAGACCCCCTACAGGCCAATCACATCGCGGGAACCATGCGATGCGAGAGAGATGACGCCATTGCTGCCAACTGTCTTTAAACTCCGTCTAGGTGTGTTTATTGCTAATATTCGGCCATAACTGTGTTAAAACGTGGTCATAATTCATATAAAGCTTATTTTAGTCTAAAAATATAATTATAAGAATTCATTTCCCGATTTAATTACATTTACAGTGCAAGAACTTTTGGAATGCGACGGCTGGGCTAGAGCGACGGAGCCAAACATTGTTGGCCAACCTGCCGACCGGAACACTTCAGTCAGTTTAGTGTCTCGAGCGGAGTTTAGTTAACGTGAGTAACTGTTCATCGCGTTGTTTTGGTGTCTGTAAATTGGTGTTTACACAATACATTATCACATATCGATGTCGCGTCTTCAGCTTAGTGTGGCGATGTGATTGTTCAGCGAGTATGTCGTCGTTGATAGAGTGACGAGTGAAGCTACAAGGCGTGTTTATGAATGGAGTTGTACCGTACCTTGGGAGTGGCTGCGGATAACAGTTAGTGCACGTGTTGTGGAGTTTAGTGTTGTGTTTTGTGTAGTGATGTGAAAAAAACATCGTGGCGATGGAAGAAATGCCTTGCCGCAACATTCGGATACCTTTGGGAAACCATCATCATCAGTCTGGTGAGTAAACAACTCGATTAAGTTTACAGGTCGCCAGTGTAAATAAGCTGCGCAATTGTAAACAAGTAAACATTCTTCTCGTTTGGAGGAGACTTAAGTTAGGTGTATTTATAGATAGGTAGTTGTAAGTGGAGAGATAGTAAGCAACTAAGTTGTCAATGTTGCTTCCTCTTAACTTATGTAAGGTTAAGTTAGGCTACCGTACCTACGTTAGTTATGGTTAGAATACGTAAGAATTGTAAGTTTACTAGAAAATTACATAACAGTAAATTCAGGCTAAACGTAGCCTACATTAAAATAGGCTAGTTGGCTCGGATAAAGCTACACTTTATAAAAAAAAATACCCCCGCCACAGCAAACCTTCAGACTAAGCAAATTTCCATTTGCCTGATTAGATTTACACTAAACGTTTCCTTAAAAACATCACGTTTATTCCCTATTTAAATAATATTATTTTAACGAGTAACTTAGGTTTGCTGCAACGGGGGGGGGGGGGGGGTAAACGTGGTTTTCTTGTAAAATGTTAATAGGCTAGTTTAGTATAAAATTAATGCATTTTCCAAATTTGATCAAAATATGTTCATAAACAAGCATACAACTGTTAAATATTCTCCATTAAGAATAAGTTAACATGGAAATTCAAAATTTCGGCTAAGCTTAGAGTTTTTTTTGGAATTTTCTCCGTCACCATGATAGGCGCATAAATGCTTCAATATACTAAATTGTTTTGTTTTTTAAGCTCTACAAAATGGTTTGGAAAGAAAATGCTAAATTTTAAGTTTTTAGGGTCAAAGATGGGAAAACCCAATTTTTACCCCGTAAGACCCCCGTAACCCCCTGTTCCCGTAATCGGATTATGTTGGTTCGCGAACTCGTTAGAATAACCGTAAAGGTTTAGCGTACACGTTTGTACCAAATTTCATCAAAATCGGATGATTTTTGCTCGAGTCATTGCGCTAACGGACACATATAGGTAGCCTACTATAAATATGTATGTAATATATATGTACGAATTTGAACGGATGGTGTTTTTGGCCTGTAAAGACCTCAAAACTAAAAAGTAAATCGGTCCCGGGTCCAGGTCTTACCATGAGGACTACGGTAGCCTACCTAATAGCTTATTCTCTATAGCCTACTTAGGGGAAATTCGCCAAAACAAAACAAATCCTGTCCTGAGAAAATTCCAAGTAACTTAAGTTAAGCTAATGTAATCCTCAGTGTAACCTAGGATAACTTAAGTTCGTGTGACTTAATATAGGTAAACTTACTGACTTTTTAATTCATCTTACCGTAACATAAGTTAGGCTACGGTTGGCCTACTTAAAAATATGCTAACTTATGCATTGAAACACCGGCACCAATTTTAAGCACAAATGATATTTTTCAACTAGACATAATTCTATAGGCCTAGCAAAATCTTTATAGCACAGGTTTCCACTAATTAGGCTAAAATATATAGGCTAGCCTAAATTAATTAATCAGCTTTTGAAATATTAAACTTATAAGTAGGCCCATGAATATTAGAAAAAAATATAAATAAGGGTTGTTATTTATATAGGCTACCTGCATTTATTCTAGTATTCGTGAGTAGGTCTAGGTAAATACTTAGACTAACTTAGTGTAAATTTCAAAGTATTCAGGCTATCTGTCTAAATCTAAGCAAACATTTTCTCCATAAGGATAACATGGAAACGGACAGCCACTGAGGCAGAGCCCCTTGGTCCAATAAAATTATTTTATTTTATTTTATATAGTTTTGACTACACACAGATTCTGTGTATGGTCAATAGTGTTAGTGTGGTGGTCGAGTATTATGAATGGTGTCATGAGTGTGGTGGGAGAAACTATGATAGTTTAATGTACTTTATAGTTTTATGTCGAGAGGCCTGTACATTCATCTCCATTCATACTTGGCTTAAAATACCTACATGGTATGGTCGCCATTTCATTGAACAGTATTAACATAATGGACGAAACTTTGATAACTGACTTTGTCTTTTATTAAGTCAAGTAAGTTATCAAATAAAAAAAAAGAGTTATATCAGCATTTTCAATCTATGCCAGTGCCTAAAGTTAATTATAAACTCTGTTTTCGATAAAATCTTTTTATGTTTAATTCATGTATAGTACTGTTTTTGATCCAAACAAAACGTAAGAAGAAACCAACCCAATCCAACTGCATAAATTAAATAGTTGTAAAAAGTAATAATTAGCCTACATTTAATGTGTTTAGGGCTTTATAATTTCTTACAGAATCCAATGTAGCCTTACTGGTAATCTAAGTTAAAACTGGTTAACACGAAAAAATCAATTTGGCTGGTGGAATCGTAACTTACATCAAAGTTTTGCCGAAAAGCAAACTAAGTTGAGTCTACTGACACAGAAAACATACTACTATGTAGGCCTACTATGTTTTCTGTGCTACTGATCAGAAAGCGGGAACGATAGGACGACGGGACAAACGCAAACGGTAAAAGGCCTGCAGCATAACAAGAAGAGGGCCAAATTAAAACATTCCGGGACTGAACAGCCTTCCGCGAACTGACGGGGCGGTGAGTTGAAAAGAGAAAGGCCCACCGAGTTTTGGGAACACAATAACACAAAGGTATACAACCCGAGTTTCGGTGTAGGGGCTCAGTACTGAGAAAACTAAATTCGTTGTTTTCAAAGGCTACACATTGTGTGAACGTCATATCATGGTTAGATTTCGGACAAGATGTAAGTTAAATGGAAATATTTAGTTTTTCCATGTTACAGTATAACCAAGCATATGCTACCATATATTATCTCGATTGGTAAATCATTGACCACGAATGATGCAAGTGCCAAATATGTAAAATCCCAAGCCAGTTTTTGTGTATTTCATATAACATATGGAGTGTGGCGTTGGTGGTTGGTGAAAGGGTTTCTGGAAATCTGATTTCGCAGTCTTATCTGATATGATAAGTCAGTCAACTGGTAGGCTTATTTTAAAGTCAATTGTTTAATTTTGGTTCCGCAAAACTACTGGTAATCGTTGGTGACGAAATCATCAACATTGTTTGATTGCCACTGGATTTGTGGAGTCTACTATCATACATTTTACAAACATAAGTCGGATTAGTATATTTACTAGGTACTGGTTGATATGACTCACTCGTGTTCCACAGCCCGTGTCATGCCCTGAAGCGTTTCTGTAGTTTGTCTAATTAAGTTAACCAGAACCTCGTTATAATAACAAGTCTAGCAGTACAGTATGGATGGCGCCAGGGCAACATTTACACATATACCGACAACAGTGGGTAATCGGTCTGCAATTAATCATCGGATCTAGTTACAGCTGGTTTTGTGTAGATAATAAACAGTTACTCTATTTTTATTAAAATTTTAATTGGGATATTATTCGTTAGGTCTAGAACTCAATTCGAAGAACGATTAGGCCTAACTTGATAATATAGCCTAGGCCATTCAAGAAAATTTAAGTAACGTAACCACTTAATTACTAGAGACGTACGGTAGTGTCTACTTTGTAACGTAATTTAAGCTTGACTGCAAAGTTTTAAGTGTAGGCCTATGTATCAGATGGTTTGAACAGTTAAGTTGTCACTGACTAAGATCAGCTGTTACTTTGACCAGGATCAATTTACAGTATTAAAATCACAATGATCAAGTCCAGCTGGGTCCGGTTTCGATTAACCTATCACAAAGCTAATACTGACTTTCAGGATCGAATCGGCGACGTCTATAATATTTTTATGGGCGATCTTTGTATGGGCGAGCTCATATCAATTAGGGTATAAATTAATACCAGGCTAAATATGTAGTTTACTAGGTTACTAGTTGTTATCTATCAACCAAATCAACCAAATTGTTAATAATATTGAAAGATAAGTACGTATACTAAAGACGCCTGTAATTAATTAATTTTAGGGCTTTAAAATTAATGCTATTGAAGTTTGATCATTTTTATTTTATATTCCATGCCAATAAGGAACTAGGCCTAAATCTAATGGGAGTCATAAGAAATTTTAAAATGTTAGTCTACAGTAAGTTTCATACGTTAATCGAATAAATAATTACTTATTTATGATAACTTAGATTATTCGTTTTCTTCATTTTCACAGTAACGAACTTTATTCGACGTTAAATTATAAACTAATATCGTACTGTCAATTTACAAATAAGTCTTAAAAAGTGTCTGACGCCTGTAAAATAATGGATGTAACATTTAACATTTTTGCAAAGGTCCTTTTTGAAACATTCCTTTGGCTGGTATAAAAAGTCGGTACAATATATCGATGGTCGGTATTCAACCCGCTGATAGAAAGCCCAAAATTACGGCGCGCTTAAGCAGTCTATTACCCAATGTCAATAAACAAAGTTCATTAAAAGATTGGCGGGCCAGTTTACGAGACGGGTTATGACTTATCCATTCGTTATTGTTTGGTTCGGGCCCCGATCTAGATTGTGATTGGTCAGATATATTGTGGATGTGAAGTACTAAGCCGCCAGAGGGTGGTGTTTGAAAACTGTTTAAATGATGTGTGTGAAGTTTTTATGTGTGTAAATCAAAGTTTTAGTGTAGGTTCAAATTTGTTAGCGAGTGAATTTGACGCAAATTATAATATTAACTGGATTATTGTGTTTTCTGGGCATTATTGGATCAGATGAATTTATTAGTCTCTACCTGTGGACCATTCGTTTTACTAACAAATAAACTGTGATGTACACTATTTTAATTTTTGAGCGAATTTTCATTTCAGTTTTTATTTACGCTAAGATTTGACTGAAAACAATGAGAATCTTTTAGCTGGGTACATGTAGGGTAAAGACCTACCTTTATATTTGTGCAGTCTTTCAGGGCAGAAGCAATGCGCGCGTACAGATTGGCCAATGGTTTAAGGGTCGTTTGTAACATACAGATTGACCAAAGGTCCTAATGAGCAGGGGCAAAAAATGGGGGCGGAGCTTACAGCAGCGATGTGTGTGGGGGAGGAGCTAGTCTATTCAAGTAAACCGTT